ACCCCATTCCATGAGATCAGATGTTGATTTGCATGCTGCATCGCCCGTCGCGCAGAATAAACAGGGGCGCGGTCAGTACTTAGGTAGAGGGTTCTGTCCGATAAGTATAATACAGTCTCCACAAACTTCTAACTTTGCAGCTTCCAAGCAATTGAGAATTTTGCAGTGCAACATAAATGGATTGTGCTCAACAGCAACAAAAATAAAATTAGAAGAAATAATGGAAATAGCTGAAAAACAAAAGATACAAATTATAGCCTTACAGGAAACCAAATTAAATGAAAAGTACAATCTCAAATATAAAAACTATAATATCCTCAGAAAAGACAGAAATAAAGAAGGGGGTGGCCTTGCATTTTTAATCAAGAATTTGTACTATGAAAACATAGCCATTAATATTCCAAACACATCAGACCTCGAAGCCCAAGGTATCAAAGTCTACCTCAGTCAAAACAAAACCATCAACATATTCAATATGTATCACCCACCAAACAATAAACTTATTGACGATGGAACAATGGCTCAATTTCTTACAGACAACACAATTATTGTAGGTGACCTTAATGCCAAACATCAACTATGGGGATGTTCCATGCCAAACCCAAGAGGCAAAATACTTTCAAACATATTTGACGACAATGCCTTCATGTGCTTAAATGATGGGAATCCCACCCACCATTCCTACAGCTATAATACTGCACAAGCACTTGATATAAGTTTCTCCAGTCCTGACATTTTCCACAAATGCAAATGGCAAATATTAAAAAGTATTGGAAGTGATCATTTGCCTATTTTGATAGAAATTAGCACCAAGACCAAAACCAGCTCAATTAAAGAAAAATTCTGGAACTTCAAAAAGGCTAATTGGAATCTTTACCAGAAAAACACCAATGAAGACTTTAGAAAAGCACCCACTAGAATAAAAGATCTGGAACAAAATTGGATATCTTTCAAAAACACCATTATTAAAGCAGCCAAAGTTTCAATACCAAGAGGTAATATTAAGAAATGGATTCCAAATTATACACACCAGGCAAAAGATATTCAAACACTTATAACTAAAAGAAATGAACTACAAAAAAAGTGCACCCAAAACCAAACAAATTGTAGAACTGAACTGAACATTGTGAATGCAAAAATAAAAAGGTTATACGTAAATATGAAAAGGGAAAAATGGAAACAAACTTGTGAAAACCTGAACCCAAGAAACCCGAATACAAAACTTTGGCATTTGGCAAAACAAATTGACAGAGCCCAGCCACAAACTGAAAACACAAATATGATTAAGAATACGGATGGTACCCCAGCAACTAATGACAAAAATGCTGCTAATCTTTTAGGTAATTCATATCAAATAAGTAGTAAAATCAAATTCGAAATAAAAGATAAGAAAGTTGAAAAAAAGGCCCGAAAGATTATTCATGACTGTAAAAATTTCACCAGCACTCATAATATTTTCCATGAAAAAATCAATATGAAAGAGCTAGATTATGCATTAGAAAACACTGACCTAAACAAGACTCCTGGGCCAGATGGAATTCATGGCCAAATGATATCAAACTTGGGCAAAAATGGCAAAGAAATACTTCTTGATATTTTCAATAACTCCTGGAAAACTGGAAAATTGCCTCAAGACTGGAAAACTGCAACAATAATTCCTATTAAAAAACTTGACAAATCTGCTGATGACCCAAAAAACTACCGACCTATCTCCCTCACAAGTATTTGCTGCAAATTAATGGAAAAAATTATACTCAGACGACTTACCTACCACCTTGACACAAGAAATCTCTTACCAGAAGAACAATATGGATTTAGGAAAGGACATGGGACAATAGACCAACTCTTATTTTTCACACAAAAGGTAAAAGATGCACAAAACAGAAAACCAACTAGCCACACCATAGCCGCTTTTTTAGACCTTACACAAGCTTTTGATAAAGTATGGAAAAACAAGTTGATTACAAAATTATACAAGCATTTCAAAATTGATGGAAAAGCTATCACTTGGATAAATGATTTCCTTAAAAATAGATACATCAGGGTCAAATATAATGGAACTCTATCTAAAACCTTCAAATTGTACCAAGGATTACCACAAGGATCAGTCCTTAGCCCAACTCTCTTCACCCTATTTATTGCAGGCATAGAAGAAAAAATTTCACATAAAACCAATATTGGACTTTTCGCTGATGACATTATTCTATGGAGCAGTAACACTAACTGGAAAAAAGCTGAAAGGGATTTGAACAAGACTCTTCTCCACCTAGAAAAATTTGCTAATAAACATAAATTAGAATTTAACCCCCAAAAATCTGAAACCTGTCTTTTTACTACCGATAAGAAACTATACAAAATAAGGCCAAAAATTATTCTGAAAGAACAACAATTACAATATAATAAACATCCTAAATATCTTGGCTACACCCTGGATCCAGAAATTAACTCCAGTAAACATATTGAAGAAGTTATTAGAAAAGGAAGATACCGACTAAAAATCCTGAAATATATTTCAGGAAGAGAGTGGGGAGCCGATGCAACCACACTAAAATAAACTTACACGTCTCTAATTAGACCTATCCTGGAATATGGATATCAAATCTATGGTACAGCATCTGAAACAATCTAAAATCACTGGAAAGGATACAACTAAGTGCAGCTAGAATTATTACAGGTCTTCGAAATACCTGCCCTAATGATATTGTACTTTACGAGGCAGACATTATGCCCTTAAAGGATAGAAGAAGCTACAATCTGCCAAAATATATAAACAAAATCAAGAGTTATGGAAACAAACACAGAACTTCCAATTACATACTTAATTGGGAATCCAATCTAAGACTCAAAAAAGAAGGTCCTCTACACCTGGCCAAAAGAAATGGATTTTTAAAATATAAAGTAGAAAAAAATTATTTAGCAGAAAAAATTTCTCCATGCGAACCACTACAAAATGTTATTTTTAATGACACTTTAAATGAACCCACCAACAAACAATACCAAAATCCAGAATACTTAAAACAATTATCATTAGAAATAATTAATAACATTCCTAAAAATGCAATAACTATTTATACCGATGGTAGCAGAGATGAGTTGGGACACACTGGCAGTGGCTGTCTCATCAAAACTACAAATGGCATTGAGAAAATGAACAGAAGAAACCCAGATTTTTGCTCAGTCTTCAGATCAGAACTTATAGCCATCTATGAAGCCTTAAAATCCATCAGAAATACTAATTATCAAGATATCTGGATTCTTACTGATAGTAGAAGTGCCATACAACACTTGAGTCACACAGGGGAACTCAGAGACAAAGTAAGCAGGAACATAATTGGTTATCTCCAAAAACTCTCAAAAACCTCAAAAATTCACCTTCAATGGATACCCTCACATGTTGGAATTGAAGGCAATGAAGCTGCTGATGTTCTAGCGAAAAAAGGCACAAAAGAACCCTTGCCACAGAAAAATAAACTTACTTTTAAAGAAATAGAAACAGTAGCCAAAACAAAAATAAACAAGAACTGGAGGATCCCACCTAAGCACAGTTGGTACAGTGGAGTGAACCCAGGAGGAGCTCTAAACATCACAAATAGACAGCATCAAACAACACTAACAAGATTTAGAACAGGCCATCTCAAGCCATTGAAGATAGAAAATAATAACAAAATCTACCCCACTTGCCCAAAATGTAGCTTGTCACCTGCAGCTCCAGAACACATTTTGGCTTGCATTAGATGCACTAAACAGGACCTTTGGGAGAGGCCGCTGCTCATCATAAAACAGCTCGAGGAGCATGAACTCATGGAATTCGTGTAATCTTTACACAAGGGGATAAGAAACAACAACAACAACAACAACAGGTAACAAGACCAAATCCAAATAAATAAATAGTGTGTGACGTTTCGGTAACAGCATTGTTACCATCTTCAGACAAAAGTACTGAATGAGAAATTTTACCACAGCATTTTTTAAATTTGTGCCTTATCAATCTAGTCATGATAAAGGTACAATTTGGATTGTAGATTAGAAACATAAGGTAACAAGACCAAATCCAAATAAATAAATAGTGTGTGACGTTTTGATAACAGCGAAGCTACCATCATCAGAGAAAATATTAAATTGTCTGATGATGGTAATAATGCTGTTATCAAAATGTCACCCACTATTTATTTATTTGGTCTTATTACTTTTTTTTTGCTTATCCCTA